CCACCACACACCAGCGACTCCATTTGAGTCCTCGACCTGGCATTTCTTTTTGGCAATTTTGTGAAGGATGGACGCTTTCTCACGGAACTTTCCTGAAAAAGAGTGCAGAAGAACAGCAGAGGATTATCACCAACTGAGTGTGTATGCTTCATTTTATTCATTATGAGTCTTTTCAACTAAAATATAAATAAATAATATAATAAATATCTAAGATAATGATCATTTAAAAAGTACAAAATCACATCACATTACGGAAAATAACACCACATAAACCAATGATCATGTGAAGTATTTTACAAATATTCCCAGGAAATCACTTTATCACTGATGCTTTCTATTTGATAAATGTATTAATTAATTAATGGACAAACAAGTCTAATATTTCAGTTACCTCATTGAGCATTAAATTTAGCATTTTCTACATTTTATTAATGTGTATAATAGTTAGATTTTTAAATATCTGTGTTACCTCATTGGGTCTATTCAGTTTTATATTTTATTTTATTAATTGTATTAATCTATTTATTAATGTAATTAATTAATTAATTAATTAAATAATTTATATATATTTCTTTCCCCAAATATTTGAGTTTGAGTTGACATTTGGTCAACTATTTACTTTATTTTATAAATTGTTATCATGAATTCATTAGTTTTAGTAATGTATTTATTTTTTATAACTTGCCCTCACTCAAAACACAATTCATTTATTTATTCATTCATTTTCCTTCGGTTTAGTCCGTTATTCATCAGGGGTCATCAGAGCGGAAAAAAAACGCCAACTATTCCTGATGCCCTTCCAGCAGCAGCCTACTACTGGGAAACACTCATACACAATCATTCTCACGCACACTCATACACTACGGCCAATTTAGGTCATCAATTCCCCTATAGAGCACCCGGAGGAAACCCATGCCAACAGAGGGACAACATGCAAACTCCACACAGAAACGCCAACGGATCCAGCCGAGACTCAAACCAGCGACCTACTAGCTGTGAGACAACAGTGCTAACCACTGAGCCACCGTGCCGCCCCAACACAATTGATTTAGTATATTTAGTTGATTTCATTTTGCACCGTCCAAACATATCTCTTAAACAAGGAGTCAAAGCAGCATTTGACCTTTAATGAATCCTTCAGATGATCAGCGTGTTAAACAGAGCCGTCAGTCCAGCAGATTACAGTCTATATTTCTGCATCACTCTCATCAATACAGCTGCACAACCTTTCAGGATCATCAGTGCGGAAGCAGAAGCTCAGACATGTGTGTGTGTGTGTATGTGTGTGTGTTTCTGTCTCTGAATCAGCTAAAAACAAACACACACACACACACACACGCTGAATATAGTGTGTTTGTGTTGTTTTCCCTTAATAATGATCAGTAAAAGTCTCTGAGGAATCGCTGCCTCTGATTGGCTGATAGACAGACTGTGTCGTCTGGATCGATCGGTGCTGTGACCCTGAACAACACACACATACGCACACACATATCTGTAATGTGACCTATATTTGATTAACAGTGGACTAATGTGAGAATATAAGGTCAATTTTAAAGTTTAGGATAGTGTGCATGGCCTCTCAGTAAGAAAGTCGCTGGTTCGAGTCCCGGCTGGATCAGTTGATGTTTCTGTGTGGAGTTTGCATGCTCTCCCCGTGTTGGCATGGGTTTCCTCTGGGTGCTCCGGTTTCTCCCACAGTACAAACACATGCGCTAAAGGGAATTGATGAACTAAACTGGCCGTAGTGTGTGTGTGTGTGTTTAAATGAGAGTGTATGGGTGTTTCCCAGTACTGGGTTGCAGCTGGAAGGGCATCCACTGCATAGAACATATGCTGGATAAGTTGGCGATTCATTCCACTGTGGCAAACCCTGATTAAAAAAAGCACTAAGCTGAAAAGAAAATGAATGAATGAATTGTACAGTTCTTAAAGTGCAAGTGCTCATTTAAAGGGACAGTACACCCAAAAATGAACACACCCTCATCACTCACTCTAAACCCATTAGAGCTTGTGTCTTCGGCTGAACACAAACAAGATGGAAATATTCTTCATTAATCTGAATATCTTGTTTTGTGTTCAACAGAAGACACTCGTGAAGGTTTGGAGCCGATTCTAAGAGGGAGTGTGGGTTGATTTTTGGGTGAACTGGCCCTTTAAGATGAAATATTTACTGCTGCAGCTTCACATGCTGAATATTACAGCACTGCAGTCTGACTAGTACAGAGGAGGACTAAAATTAGAAACACACACACACGCACACAAAGACGTACGCAGACTTATACACACCAACACACACACACACACACATAGGCAGACACACACAAACATTCACATAAACACACATACATACATACACACACACACACACACACACTGGCAGACACACACACACACAGAGACATTGGCAGACACACAAATATTCACATGCCCACACATACACACACATTAAAACATATATACACATACAAACACGCATACACACATGCGCACACAGACATATACATGCACATACACTCAAACCATCGTTATACAATAACTTGCCTAATTACCCTAACCTGCCTAGTTAACCTAATTAACCTAGTTAAGCCTTTAAATGTCACTTTAAGCTGAATAGAAGTGTCTTGATAAATATCTAGTCAAATATTATTTACTGTCATCATGGCAAAGATGAAATAAATCAGTTAATAGAAATGAGTTATTAAAACTATTATGTTTAGAAATGTGTTGATAAAATCTTCTCTCCGTTAAACAGAAATTGGGAAAAGAAAAAACAGTTGGCTAAAAATTCAGGAGGGCTTATAATTCTCACTTCAATTATACATATAAAATTGTTAAAGAGGTTTACATTGTTTCAATTAGATTATAA